TGTACATAGGGTCACTATGAGTCACAGGTGATTCAACAGCACATACCAACAACAATAATGAAAACAGGAATGGCATCTACTTCCTAAACCATATGCATCTGCAAACTCGGTAAACCTGGGAAAATGAAGATAGTTATAGAAAGGCTTCAGGCCTTTTGTTCTAAGGTCGCCATGAGTCGTGCCCTACTCCGTGGCAGTCAACAACAACAACAACGATGATGACATAGTAATAATAAGACACTAGACTCAAAGTAATAATGCATTTTGAAATGTCAATAATTCAAAGCAAGGAAACATTGAAGACACTCCCATAAAGTGACAAACTCCATTTCATCAGCGCCATTTTCTCCTTCTCAATGCTTTTGCAGAGCTCCTGCCTGGCCCCTCAGTGTCTCTGCCTGACGAGCGAGCCTGTCTGCAATCAGTGCTATTGCCAGCCTCTCCCTCACTCTCTTCACTTTCCTTTCTTGTTTCTTAATATCTTCGTCAGTTACCAGAATCGGTTTGCAGAACTGTGAGACCCCAAGACTCGCTCCTGGGATCACCTTGGTCCAGTCTGAAGATGAGCCGGGCGTGGCAGACCTGGAGCTGGGAGGACAATCACTAGCGAGGGTCTGGGGCGAGGGTTCAGCTGTGTAACTGAGTGTGATGTTTTGCAAGGCTTTGACAAGGTCCAAAGTGCTTAATCGTTCCCCTTCACTACTGTAGGCCTGAAGTCCCTGCAGCCTCTTCTGCCAAGAGACCTGCTGGGGCTTGTCCATGCTGGCTTCCCACTGGTAGTACCTGACCTCATTGCCAGGGTGGGAGGTGATTCTAGTGACTGGTCTCTTGAATATGTAACTGGACATCCGCAAGGGTATTGAGATGTGCAATCCAGGTTTGGGCTTGGCTTGGGAAGCACAACGACATTGCCTTCTCTGCAAAGTCTTGACCATGATACTTCATTTCCTTTACCCTACAAATTGTGAAAGTGGGGCAAAATGTCAATGAAGCCTGCCTTCTCTGAAAAAATAATTTGGGCTCATTTTTACTTCTACTGATTCTCTTGGAACGACACTCTTGAACATCATCAAATAATCAAGCCATGAGCCAAGAGCAGAAAACTCCACATCACTATTTTTCCTACAACAACTTGTAAAACTTCTTGTTTAAGGATGAATTTTTGTTTTCTTTTTCTCACTCTGACCTGCAGAAGTCCTGCTAGGCTCACTTTTTTTTTATTATTAAATTGTATTAGTTGTAATGAACATTTACAGAGATTTTGGGTTTTCATTCATTCATTGTTGCACTGTTTTCTCCACCCTCATCCCCAGTTCTTTCTTCTTCCCCCCCATGTCTGTTTTAATTGTCCAATTGCCACAGTGCTTGTCAAAGCCAGTTCTGATTAATCTCCTTTGTCAGTGTGTCC